TGCAACTGTGGACGTCTGTTAACCATGCGATATAGCACTTATTAGTGGAAATCTTGAGCAGTATGAATCAAATATCAGCGTTACCTAAATATAGGTTGTTCGTTTGAGTTAAGTGTGAATAATTCAGATATCATTGAATTATGGATGAAAGAGCAAGTTGTCCTTTACAGTTTTTCTTTACCATTGCCAAACACGAAGCTCACGGTCTGCTCGTTCCGTATTGACTAATGGTCACTCGGAATTCGTTCTTTTACTGTTTTGATAGCCCACGTCATCTGGATAAGATTTTTTTGGTGCCGTTCTTGTGTTAAGTTTAATTTTCGTAAAATTACTGAGATAGTTGGCGACATTGCCGTCATGAACAGCCTGTTACGACTGCGAGGGTCGATTTACAGATCATAGCTATCATTGTCATCGGCAGCAACCGGCGCCTCGAGTCGTTTGAGTCAGGGCATGATGTGAACGATTGTCGTCTGGTGAACTGGTGGCCGAGCACGTTATGCCGAATACAAGACACGGTAGTTTCTTCCACTGGAAGCTGCTGAGCTTTGCCAACCTTATTAGTGCTAAAGCATCGGCAATAACGCTCTGTTCGGTTATCCCGAAGGCCCTTCAAGCTTGAATGAACTAAAAATATTAGCTATAAGGACCGTTCACTGCGACAGCAGCGGCAACGCACAAAGTTATCTATTTTAACAATGAATTAAAATATTATTCACCGTCTGCCGGCCATCACGCCTAAATGTTCATGTGTGGCTATTCTTTAAGCCCTTTATTTAATTCAGTCATTCAACATAGCTGCACAAAGACCGTCCGGTAACGCTGCTTAAGGATCGCGATGGCGCCATCAGAGAGAGGCGCTAGAGAAAACCAACTCGTGCACGGCAATCATTCTGAATAATGTAGTTCGTCAATTTAGTGATCAGACAAAGACAAGGCCGGAGCCCTAGTTCTAGTCCTAATTCTAGTATTGGCAGCGTAAGCAGCATCGCTTTTTATGGATCAATGCTCCTGTCGGGGAGAGGTTTGTGCATCACTAGTATGAGCCCGCTTTTTTGGACATTGATCACAGTGAACGTGTTGAGTTTGCCGGGAAGATCAACATGATTTAGGTCATATTTAAAGGGTAACGTAGCAATACTTGGCCATCGGCCCTGCAACATCAACCGAGAAATGACTGAGCGAGGGGCTGGAAATGCTTGTGCAATTACGCAGTAATGAATAGTATGTTATGACTACCCCGCATTCGGAAAGCGCAAATGAAACTGCGCGGTTACTCTCAGAGTTACAGGCAGGAATTATCATTGAGACATCAATCGACTGACAGAGCAGAGACAATTTAACCCGAACAAGAGGATCTCGAAAGCGATTCAGCCTCGAACTGCAGTCGTGTATGATGCCAGTGCTTTTTCCAGTAAGTGGAAAATCTATGATATGATGTCGTATAACCAAAATTTCTTAGGTAGACATTGAGGGGGATTTCGTGAGGGCTAGCTTACCCGATCCACGATAGCCAATGGGCTAGTGGCTGTTCGCGCGCGGCGGCACCGGTTCTTGAGGAAGGAAAAAACCATCATCTGGCTTGCTCCAATACCCGCTAAAGTTCTGAGCTCCAACGATTCCGTAGGTTTACTTGGTTTTTTGGCGTCACTCTGCAGCGGACCGAAGACAAGGGGTCCAACGAAATGCGCAAATGGCGCGTATTGGCAATAGACGTCGTCTGTTGGGATTGCTAGTGCGCAGAGCGGCTGCAATGGAAGGCCGGATGACGCTGCGCGGAAGAAGATGCTGCTACGGAAGTTCCCTGTCTGAACCATCGCTAATCTTCATTATGAGTCAAGGACCCTTATAAAGGGCCTACATGGTTTGGGCTAAGTGAAACATCAATGTTAGTTATGAATTAGACTTGCAGCCCAATCTGGAGAATTTACAATAAGCTATTTTGACGAAAATATACAGATGTTGTATGCGTTAGGAATATATAACAGCGTATACGTGTTGAGCCCCACCAGCGGACACTACTTACAACGTTTTTAGACCGTCTATGTATACTGGACAAGTATCTTTGATACTGTAACCATAGAGACATAACAATAATGAATAGGAGCATTTTCCTACGTAAGCCATCAAGTTGCACTGCATGGTATGCACGTTTCATTTTATATATTGTCGCAAGCTCTGTAAGAATTGCTTACAGTTTGTCACCCTTGGTCTTTGGGAAGTACGTAACTCTAGAGTGAATGAAAAGATTAACTGGAAGATTGGTAACCCTACAGACCTAATCTCAAATTAGTTGCTAAGTTAGTACGCTTTAGCGAACCACAGAATGTTCAAAAAGTATGCAGTCCTATGAGAGACTAGGGAATGCTGATTGAATGGTTCAGAAATAATCTATTATTACAATTTACCTTCACTCGTTGCTTTGTAAAATATTCAGGTCCATGTACTGAATAAGTTTGACGTTTTCTAAAACGAAAGTTCCAGAATTGGTGTTCTCTCTCCTTTATTGTAAAAAAATTTCACCATTTGAACGTGTATTCATAAAACAAATAAAGAAAATATATTGCAAACACAACTACCTGTTAAACTGTCAAACGTTACACTTATAGCGGCGCTGTTTAAATTTCTTTTGGTCAATATCTGGTATTTGATGAAATGTTCGAGTTTGAATGTGTTTTTACCTGCTATATTGCAACAGTACTGACCAATGAATATTCTTATGTTGAATAACTGGAGTGTCATAAATCGTTTTTTCGCACGATGCATTATACATGTGCTAGTCTAATATAGATCTATACATTTCCAGTATTCATTAACGTTCAGCAAGCTGCGCTGTAGACACCGTGTTTCCACAATGGCGCTATACACTCTTTCACAAGCCGAACTCGTTACAATTACAAATAGTATCATTGTTTTATTCCATTCTATCAACATATCCAGGTTCGGCGAGTTCGTTAAAGCTTAGTGTTAAACGTCACGGTCAGTCGTCGAGACATGCAGGGCTTCGTTTTATTGCCACGATTACTTCATATGTTTCTCACGTAATCAGTTGAATGGGGTGCCTCCTCCCGAACTGACGTCTAAAAATGCGACCCATACATTCGTTCCGTTAGTCTCGTGTATAATGACGATAATTTAATAAAAAGTCGAGTAGCTACGGAATATGGCCCAGCTGATTAAAACAGTTTAGGCTCTTTACTATCAGCGCAGTTGTACGTCAGAAAGCCTAAGTGGACAAAACATTATATAAACTCCCGGCTATAAAAAAGATAGGGCAAATCGTATGTTATACGGAACCAGACATCTCCGAGGGGCGTTAATAACTTCTAGAACTATGTTTTGTCTTCCGTACTAAACGTAGACTGCTGAAATATGCACAACGTTTCAAATCAATCCAGCAGAGTGTTTCTATTCCACCGGGTCTAAAATACACATAGGTGATAAATTTGTTTTTATTATATACTTATTATTTGCTTACAGTGTGGTGCGTAACTGGGGTTACGACAGCGAACCGTGTCGTGATAGACTAACCAACATATTTGCTCTTTGTCCACATCTTACTCTAAGGCCAATTATGGAACGTTGACAATTGATGGCATCAACTATGCAACCCATCAGATCAACCTTGGAGTATCCTCGATTGTGATATCTCTTGATGTTTCTTTAATTTCTATCGTTGCTTGTCATTCTTTAGATACAAGAAAGAGCCCTTACGGAAATAGCGACCAACCATCGAACCTTTGGCTTGCGGCGTTCAAGCGACCCCGACCGTTCTAAGCAACCAATAACACATCGAACAATGTCAGATACTCCAGGCGTTTCTAGTCAGACAGGGAAACGCGAATATTTGCTGAGAAGAATGGAAACTTCGAATGCTGACTTGAAGCCCTGAGAGTTGTTGTTGTTGAATCGGGTTTTGCCTATACGAAACCGAACGCGCACTCTTCCCTGTGCTCTAATCAGAAACTATAATCGTTCAACATAGCTTTGTCCGAGTAGCGAATCGCAAAAACAACTCAAACATGCTATTTAAGCTTTTGTTTCTGTAATCCGACAAGCTTAATTCGTTTCAACTGACAGCTTATCGTTATATGGCAGAGTGTCCAAATCGTTACATGCTGACAGAGCATTACGATAGATATTTCACTAGTTTCGAAGTACGTCTTGTACCGAACGTACAGGTAATGTTATAGTCGAGTTTTGGCTATGGTGCAAACAACTATTATAAAATTATAACCAAACGAATACGACGATAAACATTTGAGTTTATGCGCATTCGTAGGCATCTGGTTTACGTCAGCATATGGGAATTATTTGCGTCACCATTTGGGCCTGATCTTGTAGCGCTCCTCATCGTAATGAGACACTCCTTTAGACGTTGCCTTGAGAGATTACCGCAGAAATTATGGCTGGCTTGCTACTGTCGCAGTAGCGTTACCAGATAGGCGCAATAAAGGGTCTTCCATTGATTACCACCCTCATTACTGTCAGCTTCTGGTAGAACGTCAACACAAAGCAACGAAAAGACCAAAAATCACTTTCATTGTTTACAGCGCCGGAGAAATTTTTGAAGTGTGATAAATTTGCAAACTGTTTCCCTTCATCGACTTTTAGCTATAAAACGTCTGTTTCGATAAGCGGTCATAACTGGACAAGCTGGTAAGAACTCAAATATTATACGAATCAACAAATAATAAGTCTCTTCAGATATCACGTAGAGCATACTGTTTTCTATAATAAACTCACGCAAACGGACATCTAATACGTCATTACGAAGGCTGCCTACCCTAATGACTAAGAAAATAAGCTCTGTGTAGTCTTCACGAACTCCATGTTCATCTGTTTGCTGTACCGTGAATTCAAGACACACACAATTTGCTTTTAACTTTCTACTCTAATCACCGTCAACATGAGTACACAGAAAAAGAAAAAAACAGCGAAAAATTTCATCATATGCAAGCTACCATTACAATAGATAGACACGCACACAACTAACTTACTTGTCGAAAGTAGGCGAATCCGTACAGGTACTCAATATCTATTTGTAATGCTGGTGGCACCATGTCATTGAAGTGCATCTGATCTTCAGTGAGCCTCCTCGATCTGTTTACGTCTTCGCGTCGTATCCGAAAGTGAAACTGCGTATCACCCATACATGCTGAATTGCTATCGGGAAACGCCAGATAGCAGATATTGAGCTTCTCCTGCTCGCTAAGTGTCGCACAGGGTGGGTACACGCTCTCGATAGCCTGGCCCAGCTCGAGATCGAACGTCACCACGGCAATGCAGTGAAGCCACTGTGAATACCGTTCCCACTGTTGGTCCGATGAACTCAGCGTGCACCCGCTCAATGTGGGTGACATCATTGGCAGGGGATACTGTCCTTGCAAATAGGACTCAAAGGATGCCAGAGGGGCGGCAACTGGGTCGAGCGGCTTGTTCTCCGATAAGTTCGCCTCACGGATGTCGTCGAGCGCGAGCTCATTCGGCCGCCGCGGGACATAGCGCATCTCATGAAGCTCCATCGGGGATGGTCCCGGAGCCGCACCCCTCGGCTCGCAGCAGCACCCACAGCCCGACAACAGCGCCTGGATAAGAAAATGAAACGAGAAAGATAAAAAACAAAGAAAGAGAACAACGCATAGATTAACTAATGAATTTGATGTAGCTTAGCAATGTTTGAAGCACTATTTTTCTTATCGGATACATAAGTACGTAGATCCGTGCATTAATTGACAAGGTTGTTAATAAAGAGATTCAAATAGTAAAACGATGAACTGTTGCTACGAGTTCTAGCATGTAATATTGTTGTGGACATTAAGGTTGACGTGGTATTACTCAATAGCGAATTGAACGGGTTTCAGGATCATATCATTCGAAAAGGTCCACTAAGACGCATTCACAAACGCAGGAATTTAGTGCGATGGTAGCTGACGAAAAATAATAGGATTCCAATTATTTTGCAACGCTTCGCAGCGCTAGGCCACGCTGTAGTATGTACGCATAATATACCTTAGTTTTTTTTTATTACGAGTTTATTAAAGTTACCGGGAATGACAAAGACTATGGAGCTGTTGCATTTGATAGACCGGAGAGCCAGTCATACAAACCATTATTATCTACATGAGTAATTCATCTTAACATCTAAATTCAGTTCTGAATCGGCCAACAGCCCGTCTAAAATGAAAGATCCTGAAAGGCTTCGGTGGCACGCTGAAATAATCGGCCATAGGAAAAGCCCATCCTACGCACTATGCGGTATCCTTTTCATCAAATTAATTTACAGCCGAGTACCGCTGAAAGCGACTGGAGTTGAATCTTGGAGAATTCGACATGAATATTCAAAGCGACTTGTATGACCCTTAGCTAGTAAACGCGGACAGTCTTGTTGAACTATTCATGTAGGCACATATTTTTAAAAACAACTCAGTGATGCTAGTCCAAGTGTACCCTAGTGCACTCACTGCTTGATCAATATTAGTGGTTCCAATGATAGGTTAGGGGTTTCCAGTAGCGGCTTTAAACGCAACTGGCACCGTCGATTGATGTTGACAATCTCACAGTAAGAAGCGAATTTATCCAAGCGCTTCACGTGAGTATGCTAATGCAAGCTCACCTTCGATTGATATAATACCACGCATTATCTTATGCCAAGTTTGTGAAAGAATCTGCCAAAAATTACAAGACCGAGAATCCGCATACACACGTCTATCGTGCTTTTGAGCTTATGAAACGACTTTGTCTTACTGATTTTCATTTATTTATAACACGCTCTTGACATAGGGCGTCTTTTCATGAGGACCTTTTTACTTCGCCATCATGTAATTTTTTCCCCAAGCTCTTCGTCAGTAATACGTGTCGCTTATGTGTGCTCTCAGTTCAAAAAAACCCGTTTTTACTTTCTAAAATAGTCACATTTATTATAAGCAGACAGGATCAGATCAAGTACATATGCGTGCCATATATATATATATTCCCATTTCGAAGAGTGCGTAACTACTTATTGCAAGAAGATGCAAGATCGAATGCTCTGATGTCTTTCAAAGTCTCGTCATTTTTTCACTATAATTATCGTAGTTCTTCAACGTTAAAGTAATGCCATTACACGACATAGCAAGATGCCAATCTATTCTAATTGGTCCAAAAAATAGAGTTGCCGTTGGTCGACCACAAACGAATGCTATTGATACTAGTGGTTCATGCAACAGTGGCGCTAGTAATCGGCTCCGACGAAATGGTGTCAACAGCCCAAACCAGTCGAATTTACTACCCCTTTTACTTCCGGGCGAACGCATGTCAACAAATGTTCGTTTTGCTGAAATGTTCTTTTTTTTTTATAACAGAATTACATAAATACAGCCAATGTTGCGGTGTTACGGATCCTACGAAAGGCAAGTTTCCCTACGTGAACGTAAATATTGAGTAGCATTTGACTTTATGTTGATAAGGAACCGGAACTGGTTGATATATAAGCCCTGAATATTGCCGAAATCGGAAATCAGTAGACCTGCACGCGCAAAAAAGTTTTTGAAATTCAAACTAGCTTAATTTCTTAAAAGAACAATCCTGCTACTGGGAACGACGCTCTTGCTTTAAAGGTTGATTATGTAAACGTGGCTGCAATTTGTACATAGTGAAATATATGCAGTTTAGAATATTACCAATACATATACTATTATTTTTATTGACATCACATTCTTTAATTCACCTTGTATATGTAATCATCAGTATGATTAATCTTGAGCTGACCATGTACGCGCACCATTTCAAATAGCGATTTACTAGTTGAAATTGGCTGTACCTAAATACATCCATGAAAAACGATTTGCGACCAGAGACGACCGGTCTATAGCTAAGGCCCCAATCATGAAAGTGACTGATTAATATTACAAACAATTGGTGGTAATAAACAGAAGAAAAGTGATAGGTACCAGATTTACCTATAGAACATTGAAAAATTTTTGTTCGTAATCTACAGACAGTCAAGTGTTCCCAGTGTCCTGAACTTCTACTGACTTACCAATTGTTTTTTGTAAAAACTCTAATTAAAAACTCTGCATTTTTTTTATTCGTTTCTCCATCTCAATCTCCTCGTTTCCTGGCTTGTAACACGCAGACATATACAGCAGCTATTTTAACTGTGAAAGTCTGCGCCTTAAGGCTATACGCTGATAATAAATATTTTCAAATATTAGGCAAGTATTTTTGGTGCAAAAACACCAGTTACGTATAGTTCCTTTGAGCAGTCCAAAGAACCTTGCGTTGATCGAAACAGGATAGGGATTAAGTCTACTCAATTACCCGCTCACATGACCGCTAGTGGTTCAACACCACTGTAACCCTAGCAGTGGGTTTAACGTGACGGGAGTGTGATTAAGTCATTAATTTCGGCGTGACCTCATTCAGATTTTATTTAGAATTTAATGTACTGCAGAACAGTTTTACATTAAAAATAGAGAAGAAATATGGATAGACAACGATAAACCCTTTGGCTATGTTCCTTTGAGAAAATATACAGTACAAAGGCAAGTAGTTACCTAAACAAGACTCAAAAGGTGATGAAAACCTAAGCGCTAGTTTGTACAATGCAATTTTCGAAGATTTAAGACTTCTCGAGAATCACATCAGTTTTAAAGTGTTAAAATTACTTCCTTTGAATCTGGCTAGGGAACTTTACTTAAAAGTACAACCCTGCCGAAAAGAGAACAGAAATTACAAGCTGTTTTTAAGACCTGCATGAAAATGAGTATCTCACAAGAAAAACGGGTCTTGACAAATAATACACAAGTATCTCACAAGAAAAGCGGGTCTGGACAAATACTACCATACGTCAGAGGTTTCCCCGCTTACCCATTTTTTGGAAAGCTGTATATTTTAAGTTTGAAAGAGACTGGGCAATAATTACTTGCGAGAAAGGAGAAACAGAGCTTAGAAATATTCAATAATTTGTTAGGTGACGATAGTGGGCGAAATCCTACATCAAGGCCAGCAGACCTCTAGTGTGCGCAAAGCCGTAAGAATTGATATCTGCGCAGGTATCGACCTGCAAAACGCTCACCTTTATTATCTGCCCCCCTACAGTTCATACTACATTATAATACTATACAAGAAAGTAGTTTCCACTCGACAAACATATCGTTAGATCAGGCTGTCTTCATTGGGTAGATCGCAGCAAGAGCAAGGACTTGGTAACAGCTTCCAAATGTCCGTTTACAGATTATGCGTTATCGGTGAGATACTCTTCATGTTGACTGGCATATTGGATACCTTTAATTGTATATGCTTTAACTTTGCTGGGAGGTCGGTTTGGTGCCAGTATCATCACTCCAGTGGACCGCCTCGGTGGCGGTGGCGGCAGCTCAGGACACTTGCCAAGAAAGAGCTGTATCACGTATTCGTCTCGAAGGCAACAGCTTGAAAGTGTCTTTCTGCTTCTTTTTTCCCGCCCTAAAAATTTCTCTTAAAAAGTACTATTTCAAGGTTGTCGTCATAAACTGTCGTTCTATTTTTCCATCACTATTAGCCGCTCCCAGCCACCGCCGGCAGCCGCCCCTTACAGGCAAGGAGACCCAGAAAGAACCACAATATTGTCAGCCAGCAACAGATGCGCCAATACAGAAGGACAGATGGATGCAGAGCCATTGTGAAGGTGACTGACAGAAAGAGCGAATGAACAGCCGGGCAAAATGCATAGCAACTGTAACCGAGGGTTTGTTCGTAGAGGTTAACACAAGGCTATGAACAGGCTTAACTGCGTTGCCAACTGCTATCGCAGCAAGAAGATAGGACCTAAGATCTATTACCATTATCTCCTATAATAATTAAGGAAAATATAGATAATGACTAACTGGGCTACAATTATGAAAACAATTGAAAAAACTAAACACTAACAAACAGGTTGGAGATGCAAAATATACGTACACTAGCAATAGACAAACCAGAGACGATGGATAACTAACTAACGGTAACTACTACAAAAAACTAAGATCGGCAATGGCTCGTTTATAAAAAATGCCCTTTTGTTCAACAGAAATTAACTACGTAAATATTTGGCTTACTGTTTGGGTGGAGAAACGATGGGCATGCTTATATACAGAGGCAGAGAAAGAGGGTAACAAACTGCACTTCCTGTACGCCTTACTATTAGTAAGAATTAACAACTATAATACTACAAAGAAATGTGCTGTAGTACTAAACTGTGCCTATAAACTCGAGCACGGAAGAACAGGCGTCGGTCTTCCGACTAACTATTTTGTCAGTAATATTTGTCTCTCGGCAACAACAATTTTACAGCAGCATACGCGTATGATGGTGGCGCAAACGACTGTTGTCATACTGGCGCAAGGGAGATCAGCAAAGCATATCGTAGCATCCTGAAATCGCGTCGTCGAATTTCAGTGTAGGCGATAAGCCAAAAACACTAGTTTGAACTGAATAACAAGCTTATTTATACAAAGAAAAGATAAAACTATTAAAGCAATTTTCTTCAACCGAATGAATAAACCGATAAAGCATAGCTCAAATAAAATACCCTCGGTAATAATATGCAGTAGGGAAACGAACTTGGGCAAAAGAGAAACTAAGCGCGGCATCACACGCTGCTCGCCATGACAGAGTTAAAGGTATTTTCAATGTTGACACGTTATCATGTCCATGTATAAATACTTGTAAAAGAGCTCAAAGACAGGAAAACGGTGCGTGTCTTTGTCGTGAAATTGTATACACCACATACTATATAGGGCATGATTACTCATTTATGTTCGCCACATACAACAGGTGTAAAAAGATAGTTTCTCTACAATTTATCAGTAAATATGTAAGAACTAACAATGACAACGGCCACGGATGCAAACCAACCTTCTTGCCAAAATCCGTAAAAGCGGGCATCAAGTATCCAGGGCCTTACCGGCAAAATACTTCGCACTGTCTAACAATGTGGACACAAACATCGATAAATAAGGTATCCTCTCAGAACAGTGAGCAACAGCGTCAACTAACGTAACATAAGTAGCAATAGACCTCAAACACTGTGATTATAACAGCTGCACATTTTCACACTTATTATTTATGATAGATATCTAATATCACACACGGGAAGATGGTCACTGAGGATTCTATCCCAATATTTGTTGTCTTAACATATTCTCGTGGTCACAATGGTAGCCGACTGAAAACGTCATTTTGATTTTGGAAATTATCCTGCTTTGCTTTTTGTTGGCTTTCTTTTTCTGGGAATTTGGGCGATTGGTCTTAGATGACGGCAATCTTGATTGTAAATTTTTGTACACTTCGTTCATTACAATAGGCTATTCACGATCACAACCTCCGTAAGTCGATCATCGCGTGCTTACTTTTTGTCCTTCTCTCTTTACAACGCATAGACAGACGCCAAAAAAAACCAAAACAAAACACAAATTTTGAATTTAAATATACTGATGGGATTCTCCACAGACTACGCGTCGTCTACTGCGAGACATCGAACCTCTTGAGACGAAAGCCGTGAAAACACTATAAATCAAGTTATATTTTACTTACACAATTCGGACAATGCAACGGTGGCGCTGGCATCACCTGGCCCTCAGTCTACTGCTATGGAGGAATCGGAGGAGAGTAGTGTGGCAAACATTTCGAATTGCATCGCGAGGATATCTGCTAAGCGAAAAATTTGCATCTTATTTTTTTATTATAAAGGCGTGCATTTTGCAGCGTCGGCGCGAACCATCGCGTTTTAGGGTCTTCACTAGTAGGCTAAAAATCTAGGCAAAGAATCGAAAAGCTTCAGTTAAAAATTTTATCCCGACAGGTTTTTGTCGTACCGGAAAGGGGTTGCGCTCTCTTTCTGGCGGATAAATTTACGTGCAATAGCTAGTCAAATCCGGGCAGACGGTTACCAGCGTCCTTATTCGAAACAATGCTAAGGCAAACGGGAAAGGGAACGTTATTATGTTGTGACCGCCAGCAATTAGAGAAAACAAACTGCCGCTACCATGTAAAACATTCTGTAGAACTAACTTCACATCGATTTTATCTAATAGATATGTTTTGGTAAAAGCTAAATATGTATTTTGCACAGCTGGAACACTGAACTGCAGAGCTTGCAGATATGCGAACTGATCGTATTTGTAAGTTACTGATTGTGAAACGATATGCGAACCAGCTATACATATAGAGGCGATCATAAGTCGAGCAGCTTATTTCTAGGGTCGCGTAGACATTTGGCAAGATATAGAGGCATCGATTAACAGTGATTACAATACAAAATAGAGACTATTACATATTAACGTGAATGTAGCAGATTTTAGAAAACTTTAAACTACACTTTTCTTTGCAGTCTCAAAAGGTATAAAAAACATGCAATGCTCGATAACATTGGGTGATATATTAATGTCGTTCAATATAATGTTCGCTTTGAAGGCTTTATTTGGAGTTGCTGTAACGGGTTGCTTGGCTTTCTGGGTACAATTACAAACCTATAGACCAAGCAGCCTTGGGAGAAGTAAGGTCGCAGTACGACTTCCTCCTTTTTTTAAAGAATTTGTTCTTTATGAGCTCTATAAAACCTTTCTTTTTATAAGGGGATTTAGTTAGTACTTCTATGTAATTATCAGACGCCACGAGAACCAGCCTACAGTGCATTTGGTGTGGGAATTTAATGCATCGCACATTTTGTTGCTGTGTGTACCTGTTATAAAATGTAGATCTACAATTCCTAGAAATCGTGACGTCTATTGCTACTACTAATACTAGCTGACTATTTTATACCTCGTCTAGCACTACTGCGGCCACCCAACGATTAACCTCAGAATAGTTTAAAAAGCAAGACATATGTTATTGTTTAAGCAACACTGCAGTAATGAAAAAATGCCCCTCTTGTTTTTCATTTTATTGCATGGTTTATGTAGTATAACATACTTTCGTCGTTTGAAGAGATACCAATTTTTCACTACTAGTTGTCTTAAACATTTTTTATTTTCTATATAGAGCAGTATATATGTGCCTAAACCTAATCGTATCTACACTATCAATACATCGCTATACGCTATCAATAGAAACAATACATATCCATATATATATTTATTTTTTTACCATAACATAAAGGCAGTACATCTATATGCTATGTTCGATGTTTGCATCGATATACCAAACCCATAGTTATCGTGTAGTCAGCCGCACAAAGAGTAGACTCTTTTCCTTCTACTGGCAGTATAAACAAAACACTGAGCAGACATTCTTTGTTTAGACAGTCAACTAGCATTTCCGCCGTTTAAGAGAAGGAAGGATCGAACAAGTGGAACGTAAGCTTATAGAACGATTTATACACCGTTGCCTTCTGGAATTATAAGCAGGGTGGCAGCGTCGTTCTTGATCTTCAGCTTCAGTAAGTGATTCTACTCGAACGTCTCGATGTTCAGAGGCTAAGTAGAAACTTTTTTATAGCTTTGCTTACGAGTTGTGACAGAGTGAGAAAATGACATTTAGTGCTTCGAAAAACAAAACAATATTTTAGTAAAATTAAGGACTGTATATCAATTTTACCTGTACATACCTATGACCAATAGTACCGAAGATTAAACACGACCTTCCTATCGAAAGGGTAAAGTCATGGTGCCAAAAAGTGATCTAAGGGACAACGCCACAGGCACTCTTTCAATTGTTAAGCGAGTGATGCGCGGTGTGACACGAACGTCGATACGTGTCATCGAGGGGATAGCTATTGCCTACTGTGTATGTCGGTACGTCGTGCAACCTATATCCTGCACAGGTCCATCGATGGAGCCAACAATACAGAGTGGAGATATGATCGTCGTGGAAAGAATCACAGCTCATACACGTAATTTTCAGAGGGGCGACATCGTCGTGTGTCGGAGTCCAACTGACCCAGATTCGCTTCTATGCAAACGTGTTGTAGGTAAGGTTCAGAGAAGTGCTGCGCAGTAAAAAAATACTAGATCACTGTACATGCATTAATTCTAAATTGGACGAAATTCATCAGTTTTATTAAGGATTCGGGAACTGTTAACAACTTATCAAGTGATCACATGAAATGTGATTTTAAACAAACCGCATAATGTTTTTAGAAGGAGGGGAAACTAACCTCCTTTTAAGGGGAAATAATTGGAAATTTTTTTAGACAGTTTTTTAATCCGTGGAAAACAGTCTATATGGTGTCAAATTCAACAACCTTCAGTGTAGGATGACTGGGCTATGATGACCCTTACAAACAGTAAAGCTAATTAATAATACGGCCCAGTCTTCAATGTTAACCATTCACTGCAACATGGATTATCAAACAACTCCAATAAAATAAACATCGGCGATTAACTCATGTCAAATATGGATTATATGTATACCAAACTATAGAGATATGAGGGGAATTGTTTTTTTATAATACTAACATATAGGAGCATTGCGACTAGGTTTTGTTGGGGTGAACAGGTTTTGCGCTGTCAAATTTATACTGTAGACATTTTTCTTTTATGCACTACCTCCACAGCTCAGTGGATTGTATCATCTCTCTGAGTAACTTAGAATCAATGTGGTTGTTTTACACAGCCTTATGGGGTTGCGGTCAGCACGATGGTGTTATATTCACAAAGTATAAATAATTAATAAATTTCATTTAGGTCTTCCTGGAGATATTCTGGATAATCCTGAGACCGGCTCTCAAATTGTACCCAAAGGCAACGTTTGGTTGCTAGGTGACAACTATACGAATTCAACCGATTCGCGACATTTCGGATTCGTTCCCATAGGTCTTCTAATAGGTCGAGCGTTTTTCAAGCTCAACAAACTTCAGACACTGAGTTGAACCCATAATATTTACTAAAATATATATATATATATAGCCGTAGGCTTAGTCAAATATGAATCCATGACAGGCCAGTTAGCAAACGGTAAGACAGTAGCACTGGAGAAATGCGATAGTTTAAGTCGTGCCCTAACCAAGTCCTTTCTAGATTCGATTCTCCAAGCCTATGTCTAATAACTTCAGAAGCCTCTAAAAACAAACATTATAATTCAAAACGAATAATTCTAAACATGACCGGTAAACTGAAGATGTGATAGTGTAACCTTCGTTAAAATTATGTAGAAATATAGTTTTGATAGATACAAACAAACCCTGAAAAATTGTTAGAACAAATTAGCTCTATTAAAAGCAACAAAATTATTAAGGAATATTTCACATTGATGTCCATCATTAAAGAGCTTTTGGCTGGGGCTCAACTTAAATTGAAGTATTATGTATACGTGTGTACCAAACAGGATTGTTACAGAAGGTGCAAAAGGTGGAAAATAAAGCGTAAGGACCTTGTTTAACCAATAATTTTTATGGATTGTGTTATTGAACCATTTTCATGTAATGTCGCTATCCTTCACAACAGTGTATGTATACAACATGTCTCCACCTACCACTAACTGACCACATAGTCATACACTGTTGTTATAGATTATACACCCGTACAAGTCGTTCTAATATTATTTATAGATCACTAAATAACGAATCCACTAAAACGACATAAGCAATTTATACAGCTTCTTGCATGTAAACCTTTTGCAGACTATGCCTATAGCAAATTCATATCAGCGCGCTGCTTGTTTCAAATTTTACAAAGCGCTCTACTTCAGATAATGTATATTTAACCAATCAGTGACTTATCAATAATAGTATATGCATTAAGAAAGGCTGAGGAATAGAATGTGGGGAGCATTTTTAAAATTTTCATAGACCAAATTTGGTCGGCACGGTCCTTGCGACGTTGGCTAGACCCCATTTGGTGTTTTTAAAGATCGGAGTAAACGAGTCGATAGTGGCATTTGCAGGACTTTGGCTTTCTGTTCCCATCTCATCTGTAAGCTGTAACTAAAACCCGATGCCCGAGCTCGTGTTATGGTTCTCGTCCTGCCATCTGATAAGCAAATCGCGTAAGATCCACTTGCGCGACTAGACGCATCACCTGCAAAAATAAGCGAAGGGGAAAATTATAACAGTTAAGTTACTGTTAAAGGATAATGGTTTATGGAACGATATGATGTAAGCTTAAATTGCAAGTTTGTGCCTTCAGTATCTACTGCCCGTTTTTGTCGTTCAGACTATTAATACTAGGTAGGTAAGGATCGAGTGATCTCGATCGATTAATACAGAAATCATTGTAGAATTGCAATCATTGTAATAATTAGCGCGCGTTAATGAAAAATGTACAAATTATTATGCACAGACAAAGACAGCTTTTCGAGCATAATTCATTGTTTATATTATTAATAAGTTGTCTGGGAGTTAGATTAATTTGGATGAATTAACAACTTGACGAAAATGCCCGGTGATAACAAACCAAGACATAGTAGGCTTGTGTCCTGCGCGCACCGTTTTCCATTATTTTTTTTCCTAACGCCATGCACGGAATTATGTCGAAAAATCGTATAAACAAAGAACTTCTAGGATAGACAAACATAAAGGTCAGTAAACCTTTCCCGGGAATGAGATCCATCGGAGACATCGACAGCGTACTGAAAATGATGCGGAGTTGGGGCACCACTTTCTTCTAAACAAGACAACAAATTGGCACGAATCTACTGTACCGGATGCGCGCGACGTTGAGGTTCGTTTAAATGTTCAAGTTCCTATACACGTGATGGAAGCGCCAGGGCGGCCGAAAACATGATGCACAAATGTATGACTTTCTGAAAATAGTCGAGGTCAAAGTATGCCATTTACAACAATATCATTCCCTTATGTGCTTATCCAATAAAATCGTATTTTCAAGCGAACTTTTTTCAAAAAAAGCTTGTCAAAACAATATTGGAATCAGGTCGTATATTTTTTTCTATTTTACTCAGTCCCCTGTAACGTGCATCAAACGTAACACGCGCAACAAAACATCTTATAACCTCTTCGTAAATATTAATTTACCACTGCGTTTTGAATTTCAAGCTTAATAGGAAGCTGGAACAGGAATTTATATATAACGGATATGGTAAGCTAATGACTAAGTTATATAAACCTAGTCGTTAGCTTACCATATCTGTTTTTTGCTTGTGTCGTTGGTCGTGTTTTCTCTCGAGTCAGCGTAGTAAATCGATTGCTGTTATTGCCGGTCTTGTAATGGACGGGAATTGCGAATTCTCAGGTTTTACATTAGTCATTGCTAATTTTGTCTTCAGCCTGTGGTTTGCTCAGCAATTACGATTGGGTTCCTTCATCAACTGCCCCAACAGCTTTCGCGAATACTAATTTCGGGGAAGCCCTTCCATTGATTGATTCGTTTGATCAATTCGGTTCTTCCGTAAAGGCTTCAAGCAGATCGAAGGTATTCGACAACATAGGGGCGACATCATAATAACGGTAGCAGTGACCCTGAATCAGAACCACGTTCTTTATGCTGACTCGGCTATGGAACTCTTCGAGATATACAAAAAGTGTCACTACGACTTCTTCGGCAAGATAAAACTTCGTGTGTATCTGTTTACTTCGTTAAGAAGTAAACAGATACGCACAGATACTTGAAAGACGTGAATTGTTCATTTATATATACAGTTTTTACATTCATACCATTACACTTTTTTTTATATAGGGTTATCCTAAAATAATTTAATCTAAAAGTTCCACAGAAAATAATATATCAATGTAAGCAACACAAAATGGTTTTGTTTATATGTAATAATCATATCATAGGGACAAATTTCTTTAGGTACAAAGCTAGACCTATGTGACATTTCTAGGGCCTCTGAACTATAGCTGTATAGCCCTACGTACGTGGGCACTTCTGATAACGCAGTACTAGATTTCTCTACTTATCATACCTAGATGCTGTTACTAGACCCAAGCACCGAAAAATGCTACAAAGAAAAAATTAACAGTTCCGTACAGGCACACAGGTAACAGAATGTTTCCACTTGAAAAGGGACTTCCAATAAAAGTGATGACTACTGTTGTTGGTATCACTGGTAAGTCATTTAGTGAATCACCATTACGTATTTGAAAAATATGTGCAATTTAAATAATTAATTTGTACTTTAAGCAGGCACTGATGGAGCTATTAAACCAACAGAGGCTTGTCATATATATGTGGATAAAATAGTGCAATCAATTGAGGAACTGACGAATATTTCTCCCTTGGTACTCTTGTGCAAATGGTTTTTAAGCTATCCACTTATTCATTTATGTAAATATGATTCATTCTTATACATCCGAATAAAAGTATTTTTATTTTATATAGTTATTAAGGACTGCTGAACTTCTTTTGTCCTAATCTTATAAAATTATTAATGGGATGAGATTTATTAGGTTTAACATCTTAATAATAAGATTATTATTAATATTAACTTAGTAATAAGATAATTGTCATTTATTATAATAATGAAAATCCTGATTCCGCGTGAATATTTAATTTTATGATTAATTGCTTAGATGATACTGGATTATCCTCAGATATTATAATAATAGTCCATTTTTATTTATGAAATATGTTTGAAACTATACGATATATATGAAAACTATATTTTATCATCTTGAGAGCTATGACTAAAAGAGCTCGATTACCTTTTTCATCATGTGTTTCTGTAATCATAGCTGCTCCTACCCTGTTTCAGTTTTAGTCAATTCATCAACCCTTGTTACGGCCGGAATTTATATTTTAACTCGTTTCAATATTTATTTTCGTAATAACTCAATAAGAGAGTTTTAATAATCATTTATTTTCTAACAGATTCTTTTCAGGGTTTAGAGCTACTTATAAAATAGATTTGGGTTTTTTATTTTTAGACAACTTGGTATCTTGATAATTATCTTTTCGATTAGAAAATTTGTGGTAACATTTTGTCATTTATCAACTCTTGCAATTTTTGTTTTTTAAATGCCAGGATTTACTTAGTATTGTTTATGCCAAACAGTCGAATCATCTACAATGATTCATTTATGGCATACATTGGGACAAAGAAATGCATTGTAAGACAAAGCGTGTCTAAACCGTAATTTCGGAGCTCGATTTTCTGCAATACGTATGAACTTTTACGCAAATACTTGGCCGACGACTGAGCTTATTATAAGAGTTTCTTAATAAAAAAAAATAAGTAAGTTATAATGGAATATCAATTATACACATTTAATGGATTAATTATTGAAAATTGTAAAGACCAGGTAGTTTAAACCCTATAAATAAAAAAAGTTTTTAAATCGGAAAAAAGTTGGTATTTTTTGGATGCGCTTTAAATCGTATTTTTGTGCGGCTTTTGGCAGCATTGGTGACTGAAGCGCCAGGTCCAGTGCGTGACGCGCGTAGAGGATTATGGAGCTTGTAGTGAAGCCGGACCTTGAAGAGACGCTAAGAATTACATAGGGGAACTGTGAAAGTATTACAACTCCAGCACTCGTCTTCTTTCCTCTAGTTATTGCCAACAACTCCACTGCTTGCCTCGATTAGCCGCACTCGGGCCACATTACAAGCCTTCGAAACAAGCTCGTAGGCTGTGGTTGCTAAGTGGCTAACCCCCAACCCTCCTAGAACATGCTGAAAACAGCTATAGGGTGAAGTTTTATAGCTAATCATTGACTCTCAAAAAATGCAAGCATTTATGCTCACATATTGATGGCGATGTTTCGTCGTCCAAGTTGCACCTGCGCGGACCATCAAACGCTAAAATCTATCGTAATGCGTAGATGTAAACAAATTCCTGATTGGTGACCCAGATAGAGTTTTCTACGAGCATCTCAAATGGGCCGTCGTCCTGACACCGAGCTAAATGGTACTACTTACTAAAATGTTTACATACTGGTAAACTCCCAATACACTGGAGAGATGCTACCCTGTTAGTGATCCTTAGAAAAAGCGCGACCCTTGCGCCAGTGCGACATTTGCGGAGAAAAGCGTTTGTTACAAACTGGTTTTCGACTTGTCGATTGAGAAATTAGGCAGTTATTTCGAAAGCCTTCAGGATTTACCTTAGGAACTGAAAGGAAACATTCGTAGAAACCGACGGGTGCGATGAGAAAAAACAAGTGGAAATGGATGAACCGGCTAAACAGATATGTCGTCACTCGCTTTGTCGTCCAGAAGCTCCACCATGTACTCTGGAGGAAACCGGATTCTTATGAGCTTGACAATATATGTTGGTGCCCCAGATTAGAAGAAAGCCGTGATAGATTTGCCATGCGGCTTATTTCCCTCTGGCACCATCTTTAGAACACTTGGCAAACCTCTTAAATTGGTTTTATAAATTCAACAAACTTGTATAACCCATAAGACACAAACTATTTAAAACTTTTCTATATACTCACTCTGGCATTAGGATATTTTATTGTTGATTTGTGCATCTGAAGCTATTGATTAATATTACCAAAAAATAAGTGAATGAATTTTTATCAATAAATGATATTTTCGTGAAAGGAAGAAAGGAAACTACCCTATTCAGATGCATTAACAAAATCGTAATATCATTTCGATTTTATAAATGGATTGAATCAATATCGTTAATACTGTTCCAGTCATTGTGATTAATTCATCTAAAAAGTCTTCCCGTAAACTAGAAAACCCTCGTAAACCCCTCCTTTGAGGCCACAATGTCTTGAAAATTAATTTATTCAAAACGCGAAAAAAATTTAAAAATAGATACTTTGCTTTTGGCAGTCATAAAGGTGGTCTCTCAGAGCTGATACGCAAGACAGAATTGACAACAAACCATTGATGCATACGTAATTAATGTTTCGTTCTCACATAAGGCAGGCATATATTTACATACGTCGCGTGCAAGGTGATGGACAATCATATCATGGCTCTTATCTATCCTCTATCTCATAAATACAGCTCCATAGCTAATAAATACAGCAAATGTAAAAAGTTGTTGAAAGCGGACTGAAGTTCACTTATGTAGCTCATAGACGGTAAGACTCGGCAATATTGTACAGCCTTCCAGTTCAAACACTAGGAGGCTAGACTCTCAGATCAAAGGAGCTAGAATTCAATAAGTTCTTAACAGCTGATCTAATGTTTAAATTCGAACAATCCTGAGGTCTTTTCCAAGGCTCCTGTATAGGACACGACCGTGTACCCAATTAAATGTTGTAGCCCAAAACAAAGTTTGTAATTTGCTTTGTCTCGTGCTCCTCTGTTAAATAAGGGTCTTCTTGTTGTAAATCGAATTTAATAGAATTATTTGATATTATATTAACTGGACACATAAGACGTAAACTATTTGCAGTGCGTTAACATATTAAAAGTGAAACGAATAATAACAAAATATGTTGCAGAAACCACAAAGTTTGACAATAGCCGCCCGCATATTACATTTTCTCAAATTTCTGCTGCAAAGTCAGTACAATGATCCTACAAAAGCTAGCTCAAGCGAGCAAATAAGCTAAAACAGATAATTTAAAATTAATGTCAATTATAACCACTAAATTTTCAGCATACAGCCTCACATATTTCTTTACAGTTTCGCAAGTGTACTTAATCAGTCGCCATTAAACCGAAATGTTCGTCCGACTCATCAGCGATATCAAACCTTATTTTCTCTTGGAGCTACGAAATAAAGGTTCACCGGTGTTCCCAAAAAATCGCGGTCAGATTTATTGTCCCCTTAATTCACTCCACATTGATGATGACTACACACAAGGGAGTTATCATGGATCCAACTTATCGCTTTCCACCGACTCGAGGTGCCGTCTTCTGTGTCACCTTGACAGCCTTTTGCATAACCTGTGTGGGTTTCTTTGCCGCGACCTGGGCAGGCTTCTTAGCAGCCTGGTTGGCCCGTTGCTTTTCCTTGGCGGCACGGATAGCCTGTTCACGAGCAGCTTTACGAACCTCCGGCTGAAATAGACGAAGTATACAGATTATAAACTCCCAATATATGTTGATGCAATATTAAAAGGTACGCAATAACTATACTTAACCTTATAAACAAGCACCCATCTCTTGGTGGTTCTCCTTTTGTAGCATTATCTCATTTTGTTTAGCAATATCGGATAATCAAAGACCAAATACTTTATGAGTTTAAAACCGAACATTACCTGGCGCTTAGCATACTCCATATTTCATGCATAATGGTAGATCAGAAATTTAGAGGCGAGGTAGTATTCCACAAAATAAATAAAAGTATTATTTCAACCATGCTCATCTATTAAATTTGTTTTTGTTAAAAAATGAACGCACAAAGTTTTTCTATTCGTCTAAGATTCGTTGACGTAAATTCATGAGATAACTTATTGCGGAGGGCTTAAACTGTCCTCAGCTTAGCTAATCTGTTTCATATTTTGCGGGTGCAATGGCTGTTAGTTATGCATAGAACCTGTTCCATTTGAACGATGGACTGCTTACGATACATATGTCTATTAATCTGATCCATCTAGAAAGCCTTAGCAGGGGATTTTGACTATTTTAGATATAAGTAGATATTGCAGTACATTTTTATAGGACATTTCTTTTTTTTTACGTTTATAATTTATTTGGCATGCAATCGATGTATCAAACTGGTTCATCTCGTGAGCCTGTATCTGGCTATAGAGGCGACAGAAAGAAAATTGGTTTGGCATTGCAATTCACCCCTGAGATTCATTATTGTCCGAATCAAAGCGGAAAGCAACAATGCCTCCAGCTGACGGAACTCTAAGGGGAACAATCTTACATTACATCTCGATTCCCGCTAGATATTCACCAAGATTTAATCTTAGCAAAAGCTTGCAGTGCACTCTGTACATCTACGTTGTGTCCTTATCTAAAGAGACCATTTTTACCGACTCCTTTGACGTTTAGAATATATTAAAGCAGTAGATACTGTAATATATTTTCACAAGAAACGACACCTAATTAATTGTATAAATAGAATCTATATGGTGTGCAAAAGTGTATCAAACTGGTTCATCTCGTGAGCCTGTATCTGGCTATAGAGGCGACAGGGAGAAAATTGTTTTTGCATTGATATTCACCGCTAAAATTCATTTTCGATTGAATCAAAGTGAAAAGTAACAATGCTTATGAATACAAAGGCAACATAAATTGAAAAATAAAGATTGGCTGTACCGATCTGGTCTATTTGTTAAATTTATATCTAGTTACGAAGGCGACAGAGGAACGTTGGTCTAGCACCATAATTTGACACCCGGAGCCAGCAACGGCGGTCCAAGTGGGAAATGCTGATGCCTTAAGTAGATAAACCTTTAGCACAAATTCTGCTCGTTGTATAGTTGAACTACACTATCATACGTGTGTTTCGTCTTAGGTTGTTCCATGAAGTGCATTTACGTGTGCTCTTTTTAGGAGGACCTGCGATTTCGTTGTCGCACCACCATCTGCCAATCGAAAATGATGTCTCATTTTCGTGGAAAATTTATGGTGCATAAAAACCTACGAAGCAACGGCCGACTCGGCTGATTACCAATCCCTTTTGTATTGTGCAAATAAATCTACATTCATACTCTTTGTAAGTAAGTATACGCTTTGTAGCAGGGTAACTAACAACTTGCGGGAACGAGTCATGCCGTCTATCTGCTACCTGCAACAGATTACATACAAATAAGCTACCTATTTCCAGGGAAAATGAAGATATTAACAGCAATTTGCAACACACTGACAAAAAAATATAAAATCATGCCGGCTTAGAGAACAGAACAAAAAAATTCAGCCTTTCGTCGAAGCGATAACGAGCTGATCTTGCTACAAATACACCCATCGTTGAAAAGCAATGAACCATAAACGGGGAATAATATGGCACATTTATCTGTCAACCATATATGATAAGCTTGTTTCCACAAAAAAAATTAAATGCTGGATGGTAACTGACAGTGTGAAAATATTTACGATGAAATTACAAGAGTATGAAACGTCCAATGCTTGTTTTCGTGTCTCAATGTCTCGTGCTTAGGAAAAACACGTCCTGACTTCACGCGGGCGACAATAAGGCACAGCTATGTGCACCGTTTGAACGCACGTACATTTGAATAACTTTTCCGATGCACAAGTTGGGGCAAAGTCGTTGATCAAAACAAACCTTTTGGTTTCTCTTGGCAAGTAGCTCAGTTAACGACGTGCCGGCGATAGCACGTTGGTACTTCACTGTCTTGCGAGTCCTCTTCTTAACCGTCTCTTCCTCAGTACCTTTCTTGTGCTTTCGGCGGTAGAAAACAGTCCAGCGGCACTCACGGGGGTTGCGCTTCAGCAAATGAGCTGCCAGGCAGCGAGAGCTTAGAAAATTAAATACCTAACCGACAGAGTATAGAATTTATTAACTTGATGCATTTAGATAGAGCCTAAATTAATCCGAATAATTACTAAAATCGCTTCACTTTACAGGAATGGGGATACAGATTAAGGGATTTGCAATAAAAAAGACCATACATAAACCCATTAATAGTCTACACAGGCAGGCAACACAGAATCGGTCGATACTTCGCTGCCATACGAACTATGACACGTGATTTGTGTAATTCTATAGTCTGTTTGACTGAAATAAATTTCACCATAATATATGTAAAGTTCCACCTACCTTACCGTCTGTTTTGACCAAGCGTCTGCCATGGCCAGGGTAAATCTTGTACCCGGAGTAAGAGCACAACCCGATCCTAAAACATAATAAAGGTTAGCCAGAGAATAAATTCCACACTCATATATATGATATTTCACAATATCATCTACGATCTATTCAGATATTTTGCACTGAACACGTACTTCATGTTTCTGGGAGGACAATCACGCGAAAAAGAATTAGGCTTGTTTTCGGAACAAGATGGTTGACGTGAGTTGTTTCGATTTGGTGTTTTATTCGTTTTTATTAAAAGCGAATATCGAATTAAGCTCGTTTATAATAGAATAGTTTATAATAGCAAATGATCCAGTTCAAAGTATAATTTGAACCAAAAGGGGTTTTATTAAAATAAAAGATTGATGGCTTCCCCAAAACAGCCCCATTGGCGGGAGGATTCAAATATTTGGGGTCATCATGATGCGCGAAAAAGGGATAAGGGCAACTTAAAAGTCAGAATTTAAAGTTTATTACTTTATATACTTTAATATTGGTATGCGCGCATACATCTCATTGAACATCTCTTGCAGTGATATATCAATATAGAAACAAGGCAGCTTATTGGCAAGCCAAGGAGGGCTTTGACCAAGGAGGGGCAAAAAGGAGGCTATTTTTTTTTCAGTGGGCAGCTCTCCGTCAGATGAGCTCCAGCGTAGAAGCCCAGTACGGGTCAATTTTGCTCTGAGCTTTTCGTGTATACAACCTCATCCATTCTCCGAATACATCCTCGCTTGTCAAGGGGCTCAAGTCACATATGTGTATGTGTGTTTATTAACAATACGCCATTATTTGTGTCAATTGATTCGAATCTACTGGTGGGTGATGTGCTGTAAGAACTTCGGATTGCGGTGAATTTGACAGTTTCGAACAACTTGTTAGAGAATATGCTAAGGAATAGCCTAAGTGTTGATTAGACGGCTTTAGGTCGCGCAGCAGACCCTGTACAGGTATGCTGGGCGCATTCGGATTCTTCAGCGGAATTTAACAGCTTGAAAAACGAGAGAAACACCGGTCAATCTCTTGATCACACCAATATCGGGTACGGAGTTGAGTTCAATGTTGGAATATGAGTACATTTTTGTGTGGAAGACTCTTGTTTCTGTTTGCTTAATCGTGTGCCGCGTCCGCGGTTTTACCCATGGGCGCGATCATAGTATCTATATTATGCATACATGCGCATAGAGCCGTTCCCGCACTTCTCTTACGCGACGTAGTCCCGCACCTCGAGCTAACGCTTGTGACAAAGCTCGTGAAAGAGAAGAATATTGAGCATCTGCTTTCGTCACTGTTCCGTGGAACAACTGACATTGTCTTGAGTGCATTCGATACTCATAGACGGAAATGTCTATTAGATCTATTCGAGTGTTAGCGTGGTGTGGCAACACAGGTGGCCCATATTTCCTATTACTGATGAAACGTGTGGCAGGAGTGAGACATTCACGTGTGGTCCGAGAGTGATTCCAACGTGAATCTCTGTAGTCTGCGTAGGACTTAGGTGTTATCAAAGTTACCAGTTAGCGATACATATAACGCTGATGGGATATAGTTATGGCGTTTAAAATCAAAAGACGTTGTTTACTCGAGTGAAAAAATTAATGCATGAAAACGAATGACCAGTGGTATTCAATAAAAATGCCTATATCTAATGTAACTTAATGTCGAATAAAGCAACTGGCTCAAAAGATAGTCAAAGATAGTTGGCTCTGTGTTTGATATGCAAATTGTTGCCCCTAGTGAAGTGGTTGGTACCAGTTGATCGTTATAGGTATCGATTTGTGGACCAAACATAGGTGCGCCTGAATAGGTTTACCAGGAAAAGTCGAGTGTTCAGGCACACATAGTAGTTAGACAAACGCGACTCTGAGTTCTTTTTGGATTCACGCGGTACCCAATAAGCTACTTAGTTTTGGATCTAGTTAATAGAACATTTGATACGAGGAAGATTTTTTGTAAACACATTTGGCTGAGAGCAAATTACATATTAGGAAAACAAGTCGCAATTGCAATCAGGAAACCTTGAGTGTGCAAAATAACCAACTTCCTCGGGACGCCTATCTAAACTCCTCTAGTTTGCCTTGCCACCAGATTATGATTGTTACTACTTGTCTGTATCGAATACTGCTCATTTGAAGGTTACATGCTGTGTGATATAATAAGATCCATATATCAGGCAAGTACACGAACAGCAGCTTATTAGTAGTAGGTCTTATATTGTATAAATCGAATCAATGAGCTAGGTGACTCTATTTGAGAAGAAAAGCATCGCCTTGGTCTATATCCAACAAATTATCAAGTCAGGACCAAAATTCAGAAGCGCGCGTTCGGATAGAACAATATTTAGAATCATTATAGCCTAGGTCAAATTTGAGGCTATGTAAGTCGCCTAAATTCTCATTACTGATAAAATGCAGATTAAGTAAAAGTAAGATCGATACCGGCATTAAGTAACTGTTCAGTGCTGCGAAACTTCGCCCCAAGTAAACGATACAAATATAGCTATAGAATAATGGTACTTTTTCACTGTTGCCTTTCGCAAGTAGCCATAACATACTTTGTATTTTGTAAATCGGACGATTTGGCTGTTTCATGAATAAAGAATGGTTAACCCGGGAAATTTTTAAAGTAAATTTTAACTACTGTATCTGTCATTCGCTATAAATTAGTTAAGTTTCTTAATATACTGTAGTAATAATCCGATTTCTGGCGGCAGACATAGAAGATGGAAAATTGTGATTCAGTCCTGTTCAGTCGGTTTGTTGATATACACCTAATTCCTCACTATTACGGATACATGGTTCCAACCACAACTAGATGTTTCGAGTTTTACATTCGGTGCCGCGATTAGAAATCCTTTCAGACGGTTGAAGTAAGTATGCCTATGCCCGGATTCCAACTTAGAGCATTACATGTTCCTAAAATTGGCAGCCAAGCGTTACGTAATAAGTTACTACAGAAGCACATGTTTCCGGCCTCTCTCAATTCGATCGAGCCAAACAAGCGAAGTGTAGCTGGCTACCTAGGTGAGAAGAAGCATTTTTTGCTGGGTCTGACAGAATGCCTGAGGGCCGTGTCGAACGCTAAATTTGAAACACAGAGGCGAAAAGAAGCGTAATGGTAAAATGTATACATTAATAGGTGAAACTGTAACTAATTATATATGATTTAAATGGTTGAATAGGACTACAAATTAAATTTACGATTTGAGCTGAACCCCATCCGTCATTCATTTCATTCTACTGATCATTCATTTAGGAATCGCCTTATACCAGCAGAATGAAATAGTTTGCAAGGGTTCGCTTTAAATCACGATGCGGACTTTATAATAGATCATTAAACTTCTGCTATTCTCAATCAGTGTCAACTTTGTGTACATGTCGTATGTAGAGCTTTAAAATGGCCCAGCTCTTACAGGGTTGTATATCTAGGACTATTAGAAATGCTTTAACTGTAAATTTCTCTTCTGAATCCATGCAGGGGAGAAATTGTTTTTCGTTTTTCAATTGTTCTTTTCCGTAGGAGCTTTTTCAAATAAAATCGACAATCATTACTAGCCTAAAAAGATAAACGCGGTTTCATGCGTTAGGTATATCGAAGGCAATATGGCATATCGAGTGATGTCTACATCAATACGGCTATTAAAACCTTATATATCAAAAATACAACACGGAAGTGCAACTAGAAAAATTTCCTCCATTGTCTCTAAGACGGTTCCTGCATTGTCTAGGTTCTAAAATTATAGTTAATTTTCAAGCAGCCTGATATTTTTTGCGATGCCATTAGTTGATTTCCTGAGAATTAATATTATATCGTATTACCTAGTAATAGACATTTTTTGGAACTATTTCGGACATGGCGTTTTTAGCGATAAGGGAAAATCTAAATAGCGTGATACTTTTTATCGTACTATAAGTATCAGTCTGGATATCCGAAAATATGTATTTTCATAGTAAACGACATGTTTCATTAGCTTGAGAATAATACTTGTGACTTGAATATTTCGAAAATTTGCTTATAAGGTTTTTTCTCATTTCAGCAAAATTATGGAATTGGTGTAAATATATTTGTAAATATGTAAAATATACTTCGATGTTAACAATATCGGACTCACTGAAGGGTTTTACAGACAACCCTCGACAGAGTGATTTTTCAGATAGCAAAGGAGATGTTTGAAGTTACCCCAAATCAACAACATTGGGAAACCATTGGACATTACTAGTTCAAGGCAAACAAAATAAGCAAAAAACGCACGTAATCGAGAATTTTTTTAACATTTCGATCGTATCAGAGTCAAATTTCATCACCGTTTTCTTTTTTATCTCTCATTCTCTCAAAATCTCCACTGAATCGCATCTTTGAGCGATTTTTGAGTAGGTAAACTTACGCAGTACTCCCAAAATGTTTAGCTGGCGAAACTTACGTGCACTGATCATTTGGTAATTTACAGCTGCGTTATAGGGTATAACGTCATGTGCCATTGTCCTCTTGAACGTTTCTCGATACTGGGAGGGCTATTGTAAGTAATAAAAACACTTTGCACTCAATTGAACTTGCTCAACCCAAGTCTTCAGATTAGTTTACCAGTTTTAATTCTATTTGGACGCTCCATTTTTATGTTAGGTGAAGTGTGTGTGATTCTTCGGATTCCAGTGTTGAAAATGACATACGCTTAAAAAGGTCGCATTTGCAGAGAGTTATTGCGGATTCGCGTAGATTAACCTTGCATTTGTGTGCGCAAATAACCTCTGATTTTGGTATATGGAATCAAATGCATTGCAGAATTCGGGTTCTTATGATTAAATAAAAAGGGACCACTGAAGCGGACCGACGTTAACTTCACGATTCGGTCGGCAGTATACGACGCTGCTGCAACTCCGCCGTTGGTGTTTACAATGTCGGACAGCTCGACGTGTGGATGTAGCGGTCTTGAGGTAGACCTTTCAGATCAAGGTCTAAAACGCCTTGAGCGGCGAGATGGCATTGGGGTTGAGTCATTGCGTCTTGATAATAATCAACTTCAGAAGCTCGACAATATTGACTGTTACCTCGATGTATGGAAACTCAGCGTCACGAACAATCAACTTACCAGGTACTCGAAATTTGTAGAACACTTTAAGCAATTAACACACATAAGTGTAGTTGCAATTACATATTCTGTATGAACTTACAATTCGGCTATTTATTTAGCCAATAGCTTAACTAAGATTCTTATTGTTAAGGGTGGAACCTAATGGGAAATTTATCAAACTCGTTTTTAAGGAAAATTGTTTTTATAGCAAAAAGTAGACTGATCTGTTTAATTTCTTTGATATAAATCGCACAACAAGCGTAGCCAATAGAAGATTACTAAGACATTGAAAAATTTTAATACAATATAGAAGATGTCGCTTAAAGGGCATCATTTGATCTAAGTACGAACCTCCAGCAATGAGCAACTGTAGACTTTTGAAAATCGCTTTCGCCGCAATATAAAAAATATGGAAGTCACGCTTAGAATCGCAAATGTAAAATATTACTCAGTTACCTAAAATGATAGTGTAACTGTCAAGCACATATTTTTTCAATTCTTTTTCAGGATGTATTACATCTCGAAGCTGCATAGACTGACCCATATTGATTTGTCGAGAAATCAAATACTCAGTATTGAAGGTAAATTGCTTAGTGGATTATCACTAAGTGACTACATTAAAGATCGATGCGTCGAGCATCGTTAACAAGATCCATAAACGCGAACACATGCATGTATCTACGTAGAATATTGCTATTAATCTTTCATGAAAAACTTGCCATTATTACTTTCTACAGTGGATTGTTCTAAAAATTATGCCAGAACCCAATGAATACCATATACAAATGCTCAGCTACCATTTTGATCCGATCAGTAGTACAAAAGAGATCCTGACCACCCAGATCCTTGCCATCGCATACTAGTATATCCGGGTAGTACCGCTACTGTTTATCTGCAGAAACAGATTTTATGTACCCTAGTTAGTGTGAAAAAAAAAATAATGCATTGATTGCAAAAAGAAACAGGTTTCGAGTCAGTTTTCGCTTTAAATAAACACATTTGTCGTTCGTTCTGAATTCTGCTTCAATCCATATCTGAAAACATTTTTCCATTTGAGTCGATCCGATATTTTATTGGTTGGTCAAACATCCGATTCCCCCCTGGGAAGAAACGAGTTGGTCGGCAACCGATAACATTGAAAAAGCTTTGTTACAACACTATGGTGGATGGAATGCAATCCATCTAGTCATCAGCTGGAAAGAAAATCACTGCACGGAAAAAACCGACTCCATTACTAAGCAGCTGCAACCAACAGCGACAAACAAGCGGCTTCCGTAGAGGTTGGTTCAGTCATATGGAAGACATTTTGAAGATTAATGTGTTTAAATAGTCATATGTATTTAATGTTTTACGCTTTATATATATATATATATATATATATATATATATATATGGATGAAACATAGTTAAAATATGTAAATAAATACACATCTACGGCTATATGAGTCTAGAACAAATGGCTGTTGATTCCTGCCAACCAACGACAGAATTGAGCCAGTCCTGTTAATTTGGGTGACAGCCGTGAAGTGGGGATACGACTGAACTAACGAAAGGGTAGCTTTTACGGCGAGGTGAATGGAGGTGGGGTTCGACGAAGGAAAGTTCAAGCGATGGGCTGAGGAGTACTAGCGGTGCGTGAAGGAACGGTATAGGCTACCGAACAATATCATAAGGTTGGCGCGTGGGCATTTACCTGAGCTTTACCTGACAGGAACCCGCCTAGGTGTGATTTGATTACAGCGACATGGGAAAGCTTTAAGATAAAGCTGAACGAACCCTTGTTTCCGGAGGAAGCACACTCGTTGGAAAAATTGTCTTTCCTTAGCGTAAGGAAGCTAGCCGAAGGTTCAGGAAGTTTGTAAATGCCAAGTGGTCTCTTCTGCTCGAGAAGATGGTAAGCGGCAAGGGTGACTTTATATGCGCTGAGTTAGTTCGAGAGGATCAAAACTATGTGGTGAAAAGCCGGTGTTATATGAGCACTATTCTGCTCGACGACTGGAGTGCGACTCAAACCTCGGGCCAGCCCGCCAGCTTAATCACAGCCAACGTCTCCAACGATGGGAATCTCGCGGCACATCAGCTGACAAAACAGCAGTAACCAGCAATAATCCTGTTACTGCGAAAATTTAAAAAGTGGATGGAGTCTTACTTGGGCAAGACATTTTTTATAGCTCTGGCCCAAAAAAACTGCCACCCGTTCTTTCGCCAGCAGTAAGAGCCTGGTATTTTAGCTCTGATCAGAAGGTACAGAGAACTCGAAAAAAGACAGCGGAGATAGTTCCCTTTCTACTTCATCGCCACTAGATAAAGTGCTCGATGGACTCCCTTAGGCAGAAGAAACAGCTGAGACCATTACAAGTATTACCGTGACGAACTTGTAATCGCATCAAAAGCTGACATTTTGCGGCCCGATACTCAGCTTTGGAAGCAATAAAATGCCACGCACCAGAGACTTTTTAGGTCTAGACAGCTCAAGGTAAAGTTGGGGACCAAGTGCATCCCATCTACGGCGGGATGAGGACATTCCGCCAGATAAGCATAGCCGAGTTGTAATAGGTGAGACATAATCGTTAAATTGTAGAAGAAATACACGTTTACGGCTATATAAGCGCAAATCATATCGAATTAAACAGACCGCACAAGCCCATCGCGCGAACCCAGACTAAAGCTATGATCACGCCACTCCGAGGTGACGAATGAACGTGCAGGCATTCATAAACGTGCAAAGGGTACTGAAGCATCCACCTCGATATATGTACTTCGATCAAACAGATGGTGGTTTGTAATGAAAACTGCCAAAGTGCCTAATGTCTCTATTCTTACGTCTGCACCCATTCAAGGGAAGCTTCCATTAAAGAATCAAGCAAGTGCACACAATGCTGAAGTGCGTACGTCCAAGCATCAATAAGTATCTGGGAACGATTTAATTTAAGCAATAGCTAATCTCTGATCAAAGGCAGATTTTTCTCAAGGGAGAACTAGGGTAGAATGCGGATAGTATGTTAGGACACATGTGGGTAAAGTGGTCGGATGTTAAGGCGCGCACTAATAACATCTCTAACTTGTCGCTGTTGCTACATAAACATGAGGTATCGCCTGAAAAATCTTATTTGTGCAAGTACTTGTTCGTCCTCCGTAC